GGGCGGGGCTGGGAGGGGGCGGAGCCCCGCTGGCCTGGAGGCGGAGCTGCGAGAGAAAAGGGGAGTGGCTTAGAGGGACACGCCCATTTTTAAAGGGGCCACGCCAATTTTTAAAGGGGCCATACCCCTTATTTTAGAAACCACACCCATTTTTAAAGGGGCCACGCCCATCTTTAGGAACCCTGCCCACTTTTAAAGCGGCCATGCCCCATATTTGAAAGCCACGCCCACTTTGAAAACAGCCACGCCCATTTTTAAAGGGGCCACACCCCTATTTCAAAGCCATGCCTACTTTTAAAGGGGCCACGCCTCTTATTAAACAGCCACACCCATTTTTACATTGGCCACGCCCTTATTTAGGAACCACACCTACTTTTAAAGGGACCACAATTTATATTTAGAACCCACGCCCATTTTATAAGAAGCCACGCCCCTTATTACCAGCCACGCCCATTTTTTAAGGGCTACGCCCCTTATTTTACCAGCCACGCTCATTTTTAAAGGGCCACGCCCCTTATTTGGAAGCCACGTCAATTTTAAAGAGGCCACGCCCCTTATTTCGGAGCCACACCCCATAGTTTTTAGCTACACCCATTCTAAAAGGGGCCACGCCCCATATTTAGGAACCACGCCCATTTCCAAAGGGACCACGCCCTTTATTTAACAGCCACGCCCACTTTTAAAGGGACCGCAACCCCTATTTAGGAGTCACACCCCTTTTTAAAGGACCCACACCCCATTTCTAGAATAGCCCTTAAAGGAACCACACCAAATTTTTGCCACGCCCTTTTTCGACCCCGCCCCTTTCTCCCGTGGCCCCGCCCATTTCCCCAGGCCACGCCCACCTTTCCGATCTCGGCCTGCACCTCGCGCAGTTTGCGTTTGTAGCGCTGCGATTTGCCCAATCCACAATCCCTGCCCCTTGATCTTTGATCCCACCCCTTTTCCCTTGACCCTGCCCCTTTTCCTGTGACCCCGCCCACCCCAGGCCACGCCTCATTTTTTAAAAAAGTCACACCCTCTTAAAGGAGCCACTCCCCATTTTTAAAGGAATCCCACCCCTTAAAGGAGCCACACCCCATTTTAACCACGCCCCTTAAAGGAGCCACACCCCAATTTTTTAAAAAGCCACACCTTATTTTTAAAGGAGCCACACCCCTTAAAGGAGCCACGCCCCATTTCTAAAGGAGCCACACTCCTTAAAGGAGCCCCGCCCCATTTTTTAAGAAACCACACCCCTTAAAGGAGCCACGCCCCATTTTCAAAGAAACCACACCCTTTAAAGGAGCCACGCCCTATTTTTAAAGGAACCACACCTCTTAAATGAGCCACACCCCATTTCTAGAGTAGTCCTTAAAGGAGCCACACCCCATTTTTAAAAGACCCATTTTTAAGAGTCCCTTAAAGGGGCCACAGCCCATTTTTGGAAGAGCCACACCTCTTAAAGGAGCCACACCCCATTTCTAGAATAGCCCTTAAAGGAGCCACGCCCTGTTTCTAATGGAGCCACACCCCATTTCTAGAATAGCCCTTAAAGGAGCCACGCCCTGTTTCTAATGGAGCCACACCCCATTTTTAGAGTAGCTCTTAAAGGAACCACATCCAATTTTTGCCACACCCCAATTTGGCCCCACCCCCAACCGTCAGGCCACGCCCACCTTTCCGATCTCGGCCTGCACCTCGCGCAGTTTGCGTTTGTAGTGCTGCCATTTGCCCAATCCACAATCCCCGCCCCCTCATCTTTGACCCCGCCCCCTTTCCTATGACTCCGCCCCTTTTCCTGTGACCCCGCCC